CAGTAGTAGCACCCTCAGGCTCAGCACCCCCAGGCGTAGCACCCACACGCTCAGCACCCCCAGAGTCAGCACCCCCAGGCTCAGCACCCTCAGCAGGACCAGAGTCACCAGTAACCTCGACAGGCTCGACTGCGTCTACCTGGGACACACCTGAAGGGGCAGGACCCTGAGGGGGGAGGGGGTCTACCGGGGGGGGACCTGGCACAAGGAAGAGCGGTGGCGGGGGGAGGGACGGAGTGCGGTAGGGGAAGAGGCGGTAGTAGGGGACCGACTCGTCAAACGTGACGTCCTGGGAGGACAGAACACGGCGAGAGGTGGGGTGGTAGAACTGCCACCCTGGCGCGTCAGGGGGGAAGCCAAGGAAGACGCAAGGAGCAGCACGAGGGGACAGCTTGTCCGCAGACAAGTCGCGGACAAACGCCCGAGATCCCCAGACACGGAACGCAGACGCATCGCCAACCTTCCCCGTCCACAGCAAAGCTGGGGAGGTCTCCGGCATGGAGACCCTGGGGTGAAGGTTGATCTGATGCGCCGCGTACCGAACCGCAAACGACCACAGAAAATGGGGGGCAGCCGCATGCATCATGGACATACGGGCGACGTCCATGACCATGCCAATGCGGCGCTCAGCAATCCCATTTTGCTGTGGAGAGTCCGGAAGCGTGAAGGTCTGGCGGATGCCTCGTGCACGACAGTAGGCTCGCAGAAGGCCAGAGGAGAACTCTCCACCTCTGTCAGAGTGCAGACGCAGAACAGGAAAGTCCGAGCCGAAGCTCTGCCTGAGCTGGAGACGAGCTGCGCGGATCCAGTCGATCAACACCTCAGTGACATCACCCTTGCTGCGCAAGGGGAAGACCGTGGTGTAACGCGAGTAGTCGTCAACCACCAGCAGGAAAGTAGCGCTCGTGACCCTGTCCACGGACGCGGGCCGGGCCCCACACGTCCATGTGAAGCGTCTGCAGTGGGGCCTCTGTCGGAGGAAACTGGGAGGAGTGAGGGGCAGCCCGCTGCCGCCCCTCGACACAAGGGACGCAGGTAGGGCCGGGCCCCGGAGGAAGGGGAGGGAGGGACCGGGGAAGACCAGAGACAAGGACACGGGAGGCCATGCCTCGGAGACGAAGCAGGGAGGGGTGACCAAGGCGGTGGTGCCAGAGGAGAGTCACGTGCGACAGGAGGCGACACGAACAGGGGGCAGACTCAGGACCAGACCTGGACGCTACAGCAAACACCTAACCCGACGCAGCTACCTGACCAGACGCAGTGACTGGAGGAGACGCAGTGGTCAGTGTGTACAGGCTCGACCCCGGCCGACGTGTAAACGTGGCCAGGTGTCGGCCTGTCCGAGCGTCCGTGCAGTGGGTCACCCGCTGACTCGCAGGAGTGAACTGGTGAACCCCCGCATCCTGTAGGTCAGCACCACTCACCAAGTTCGTAGAGAACAAGGGGAGGTAACGACCAGACAGGGTGCCAGAGGGGGCCGCCGGACACGGGAGGACAGTGGAGAAGTGAGCAAGGACAGGACCCCCAGAGGGGTCTGCCAGAGAGACTACAACTGGCCGGCCAAGCGGCGTGAGTGTGGTGCGGTCTCGAAAGAAGGAGCGAGAAGCCCCCGAGTCAAGGGTGAAGGTGTGGGAGGCCGAAGCCGACGCAGTACCTGAGAGAGCAGACTCACCAGCACCTGAGTGAGCAAACGCACGAGCACCTAGAGCAGCAGCCTCGCTAGCACCTAGAGCAGCAGCCTCACCAGTACCTAGAGCAGCAGTCTCAATGCCCGGGTCGGGCGGAAAACACCGGTAACAGTCACCCTCATCACTAATAGTCACAGCATACATGGCAGCAAGAATAGCATCAAAGTCAAGGTCAAAGACAGCTACACCCGCCCTAGACAGCTCGCCCCAGCGGGGGATCTGTGGCCTCAGGGAACTGGTGACACCAAGCGTCCGTCAGGCGGCCAAAGCAGCGCTGGGTGGAGTGCGCACCCCCGCACTGCTCACCCGCGCGGTCGCCGGTGCGTAGGACGTAGGTGCACGGACCAGTACCCCCACCCCGCTGGCGTGCAGCGTACCACTCACGGAGCTGCTGAGGGGGGGGATGTCACGAGTGCGCTGCTGCCGCTGCTGCTGCTGCTGCTGGCGCTGACCACCACCGGAGCCGACCCTCTGCCCAGCGCCACCCCGACCAGCTCCACCTCCTCCGCCGCCGCCTCCTCCACCGCCGCCACCTCCGCCACCTCCGCTCCCACCGCCACCGCCGCCGCCGCCTCCGCCTCCACTGCCGCCACCGACACCTCCACCCCCGCCACCACTCCCACCACCACCCCCACCCCCTCCACTGCCGCCACCGCCACCTCCGCCACCCCCGCCAGCCCCTCCAGCACCCTTGCCCCCCTTGCCCTTGCCGGTGCGGCGTCTCCCGCTCGGGGCAGACGCAGCGCCGACCGACTCGAGACCAACGAGGTCGGCCGCAGCAGCAGAGGCAACAGAGGGCAAAAGGGGGGAGGGGGAACACCCCTCAAAGACGGGGGTGCGAGGGTCACCACGAGAGGCTCCTACAGCGACTATGCTCTTCTCTGCTGCTAGGAGGGCCTTCTCGAGGAGGTCAACGGTGAGAGTGGTGGGGCAAACTGAGAGGAAGTGGTCCCTGACTACACGAAGGGAGTCAGGGAGCCGGGTGACTATGTAGTAAAGGGTGATGTACATGGGGGGGGGGTTCTTGGCGCAGAACTCAGCAGGAAGCGCAGCGCGGTAGCGAGTGTCACTAGTGCGGAGGTGCGTAATGAGGTCAGCGACTGTGGGAAAGGCAGCAAGGTCAGGGAAGAGGTACGGTAGCATGAGGCGGCTCAGTGCAGCAGTGGCAGGGGAGGAGTAGCGCGCAACTACAGCGTCGTACAAGGTGTGAGCACTCTTGTACTGGCTAAAGTGCGCACGCTCAGAGGTAGGCAGGTGGCGACGCACAGCTAGACGTGCAGCAGCATCGCGTGTGGCCCACTGTGAGCGAACAGTGGCGTCGGCATCAGCAGCAGGGGCAGGAGAGGCACCAGAGGTGAGGTCAAAGAGGGAGAGACCGTCTGCCCTATCGCACTGTAAGAAAAGCTGCAGGTCATCTACCCAGACGTCAAAGTCAATGGCCCGACCCTCAGCGTCAAAGGCGAGGACACTAGGGGTAGCCATGACAGCAGTAGACTAGCAGTGTGAACAGTAGGGTAAGGGCAGTGCAGTGATAGAGGCGCTGCTCTTACCGGACAGGGCAGCTCGGGCGGCTCGGCGGCTCGGCAGGACGGCGGCTCGGGCGGCTCGGCGGCTCGGGCGGCTCGGGCGGCTCGGGCGGCTCGGCAACTCGGCGGCCCGGGCGGTTCGGCGGTCGGCTGCTGGGCGGCTCGGCGGCTCGGCGGCTCGGCTGCTCGGCTGCAGGACGGCTCGGCGGCTCGGGTGCTCGGCTGCTGGGCGGCTCGGCGGCTGGTGTGGTTGGTGACGACCGCGGCAGCAGTCGCAGAAGCTGTGGCGACTGCTGCTGCAGAGACGGCTGCGGCTGCTGCCTCAGGGACGGTGGCTGCCGGCCGCTAGGGGCCGCGAAGAGCAGCGGAGAGGCCGTGAAGGGCGCCACGAGGGGCCGTCGAGGGCGGCGACAGGCCGTGAGAAGGCCGCAGAAGGCGGCTCGAGGGGCCGCGCGGGGGGGGGGCGTAAGGGGCCGACTGGCGACGGGAGGGGCCGAAGGGGCCGCGGGAGGGCCCGTAAGGGTAGCGCGAGGGGCCGTAAGGGCGGCACGAGGGGCCGTAAGGGCGGCACGAGGGGCCGTGAGGGCGGCGCGACGGGCCGTAAGGGCGGCGCGACGGGCCGTAAGGGCGGCACGAGGGGCCGTGAGGGCGGCGCGACGGGCGCGACGGGGCGGCGCGACGGGCCGTAAGGGCGGCGCGACGAGCCGTAAGGGCGGCGCTAGGGAGCCGTGAGAGGGCCGCTAAGGGCGACGCGACGGGGCCGTGAGGGGCCTAGCGAGGGCGCGACGGTAGGGAGAGCACACAGGGCGCGACTCGGGCCGGAGCGAAGCGCGCTCCGGGCAGGAAAAAAAAATTCGTGGTGGTGGGCCCTAGGAATCGTTCCCACTAGGGAACCTGCTCGATACCATGAGAAGAAACGAGGAATGAGAATGACTAAGGGAAAGTTGGGTACAAATGTAAACCCTAGAAAACTGTACCCCATATGTGCTACCCCACTATAGCCTACAGTAGCTATGTCATACAAATCTGACACTCCGAACTCAGCGGAGTAGTCAAGCGGGTCAAGACTCGCTACGGCCAGGAGTGAAGGGGGGTGTTACGCATAGTGATTACTGAAACACTACTGTGCACTCCTCACCGCAACAATCGAAGCACGCACTACCGAGAACGAAGGCGAAAGGGCGGAGGAGACGCGAAGGGTCGCACGGTTACGAAAGCATCTGGACCGTCGGGCAGACAGCATCAGGATTCAAGCAGCAGCAGTGGCGAGGATTCTGCCCGGACAGTTTCGTAACTGTCTGGAGTCGCACGGTTGGATTTCGATGTAATAAGGGAATGTACCCCTTAGAGTACATGGCTAGCTAGGTCGATTGGTATTCCCTTGTAATCTTATTTATAGTGCTGTACTTGCATGTTTTTATTATCTCAAGCATTTACATTCACTCTGCTATTGAGGTCACGGGCCCACCACCACTACTCAGTTGTGTGCGAACCTTCCTGAGGTGATCCTAGGAACGATCAACTTCTGATCGCAACAACTAGTCCGAGGCTCAGCCTACCCTTATAAAATTCGTCTGAAATTTCAGCCAATACATAAAAAAAAACTCTGAAAAAACAGAGAAGGTACATATAGAAAAACTTTGAGTTCAGACTAGGTACAAAAAAAAAGCCTGAACGGACTCTGAATCAGACTAAAAAGTCTGATACCTAGGGCCCTGTGGCAGTGGCAGTCATAGATTATAGCAGCATCCTGCAGCCTTATTGTTAGGCCTCGAGTGCAGTGGTGTTAAGGCCTGACAAGGTCACGAATGAAGGTCTCAACATCATTCAGATTATCACTAGCCACGGAACACTCAGCAAATGTCACTGGGTTGACGCAGTCAGCGAACCGGAAAACGCCTCCGGTGCTTTTCAAAACAAGCCCTTGTGACCCTCCGTCCTTGCTGGAGCCAACAGATGCCATGGAATGGCGTGACGAGCGCAGCTTCTCACTGCCATAAGATAAAGAGAGAAAAGTGTGTGTCACATAATGCGCGAGCGCAGTGGTGCATGGTAAAACAGGAAAACGGGAGGAGGAATGCATGTCATGTCAGTCGTAAGGTAGCGGTAATGCTGGCGGTGCTGTTTGATTCAGGAATGAATAAACACAAGAGGCACACGTGCATTTGACTCACATTTCCTTTTCAAGTTGCTTCCGGATGAACTCCACCGAGTGTGCGGTCACCTTCTCCATCTTGTTGCATGCCAGCAGCAACGGCACCCGCCTCCGTTGCACAGCAGCAGATGAGAGCAGCTCATACAGATACCTGGAGAAGAAGCATACACCAATAAGCAGAGAGACCCTACTATGATCAGCACAAGTGCATGAAATAATAAAGCATTTCACGCATGCGAACGGGCATTAGATGATAAGCGCATGGCGCATTGTCTGACAGAGCACCTACTCTGCGTTAGGTCGATGTTGAGAGTGAAATCAAGGGCATCCACCAGGAACACGATCCCACAGGCGCGGGAGAGGAAAGGAGCCCCCAGGGAGCGCAGGCGTGGATGACCAGGCAGGTCCACGAGATGCACTGGACGGGCCCTGGGGTTCTGGAAAGACACAGCGGGTTGGCGAGGGACGCATTGGTGTGGGAAGGAGGACGAGGGAGGTGACAGAGAAGCAGAGAAAGGAAGGAATGAGGAATCCAAGACGAGATAAGGAGGGAAGGAGCATTATGAAGCCTAATCAGATTCAAGAACGGATAAGAGAATGAGCGTCATAGAGCGCGACCAAAATGCTGGAAAAGGGACCGGGGGTTGGTGGAAGACAAATAGAAGACGAGAGGCAGTAGCATAAGCTGCAAAACATCTTTCATATGCTCTCTGTGTGTCCCTGATCATGCGCTTCCAGCTTTCCACCTTTGATTTACCTTGCTCAGCTCGGCGTGCAGGGGGAACTTGTCATCGTTGACTGCCATAGACGTCACTGTGCCGCCGTGGGTTGACCCATCCCGCACTCAAGGAGAGGGGGGTAGTGGAGGGAGGAGACAATGATGGAGCGAAGGCTTCTGGAAGTGACTGGATCCTTCAAGACATTGTGCTTTCTATATGACTCAGAAGCGAAAAAACAAGAGAATGATCCTTGTGCCTCTTGACAGTGTTTGGAATTCAAAGGCGGGCGCTACTCAGCACAAGGTTGCGAATCATTATATCCTATTCGCACCTTGTACCAGAGGGACGTCTTGCCGGCTCCGCACAGGCCCAGAAGCACGATAGTGTTGAATCGAGGGCCCGCGAAGGCCAACCGCGCAGCTGGAGCGGAAAGGAGGCACGTGAACGGACGAATTCGAACGATCAGAATATGCAAGGAACGATACGGGCATGAAAAGAACGAGCAGAAGCACGTGGCTATATTAAAGTATATCAGTAGAACGACGTTCTCTTGAAATGATTTGGTATGATTGCTCGTACCTAGGAGAAATATAAGAGAGGCCAGTAGGACGCCGATCGTCGACAGCAACAGAGCTGTCTCGACGCGAACATTAAGAGCTCGGCTTATATCGAGAAATACAGGGGATTCTTGCACTACAGGGGGAAGCACATTCCAAAGGGAGGTCTCAGCCTTTGAGAGGTACTCGAGAGCTAGAGTCTTAAGTTCCTCTGCTGACGGTAGTTGCTCCATCGCTATGGAGAACGTGAATTCCGCAACACACGAATTCAGATGGTGAAAACGCTAGGAACTTGGAGTACGACCAACTGGCCGAATTGTCGGGAGGACGCTTCGGGCGATGCGCTAGGTGAACTGTTTTGAGGACTGAGGAGATAAATCAGTTCGCATTCGTACTTAGTGGATCCCTGTCAGATCCAGGTCTGCAAGCTGGTGATGAGAAGGGTACGGGGGAAGGGATTCTGAAAGTGTACGCGTTATTGAACAGATCAGGGCGATCATTTTGTTTTTAAGGCAGAAATACTAGCTTGTGAACAAGATATATTTAATATTTCGAGATGATATCGAGGTTTGTCAGGCACCGCAGAGGTCGAGAGATGGCGGGAGGGAATCACGGCGGCGCGGGCAGCGTGGAGCCAAAATGCTGCGTGAAGTGCGGGCGAGCTTCATCACAACAATCCGGCGGAACGAATCGTGGCACGAAGTCAATTTCCAGAGGCTGCCCGGCCCGAAACGAATTAGCAAATCCCAAGAGGAGGCACACCAAGGGAAGTACGTAAACGAAACAAGCACCCCTACACCAACACCCCACTCCCTCACTCCGTGTCCCAGTCAAGTCCCAACCAACCCAACGGTCGAATTTCAAGACCACAACTCAACAGCCTCAGATCGCGTTCTGTGGTTGGGGGCTGGGACGCCATGCGAATACGCTCACCATACTTACAGGCTCTAGTTGATTTTTGCTGCTGGTTGTTCTCCTGCCTTGAGTTCTCTTCCCTTTCGCGACCTCGTCTTTCTCGTCTCCTCGTCTTTCGGACTAGCTGGTTGTCCTGTCCCGTCAATAGCTAGATTGCCCATCAGCCGTCATTCCACAATCGTGGCTCCTTCGCTCCTCACGATTATATTATATCAGCGTAATTAAATTAGCCCGAGTTGGCCTAGCAGAGCTTATGGGATAAGCTAATCTCACGCTCGTGCGAGTATAGTCCAGTCACTCGTTAGCTGCCAGGTCCCTAGCCATGGCAATCACGCAGTTAATCGAGCCGCAGTCCCTGCAGACTAATAGGGTGGCGCTAAACGACGTAAAAAAGAGCCTCCTAGTGGCGCTCGGGAAGCTCAACGATCGCGACACGCAGCAGAACGCCGTGGGGGATCTCCAGAATATTGTCGAATGCCTGCCGCCGGAAGGCATCCCCGTCTTCCTCTCCTGCCTCTACGAGACTGACAGCACCCATCGTACCTTCGTCCGGAAAGAATGCCTCAGGTAACGCCTCCACCATCTCCACCCATTTTTGTGATCCTCAAAATGTCTCAGGTGTCGCCTCTACCAGCTGCTTACACGTATGAGAATACGACGAAAATAGTATCCCCGTGCCGCAGATGTTATATGCGTTCCTTCGTCTGCTTCTTGCACGCTGGTCCGGGAAGGATGCTCCGTGACACGCGCGTTATCAATGGCATGGTAGCTCATCATTCGTTTTTATCATTACAGTTATATCATTCTCCTACATACACTGTTTGCTCCTTCCACGTCACACCAACCAACTGACGTATCGCACACCGTCGTTGTCGCCGTCGCAGGCAATTTGCTATCCTTGCGATGACCTTCGGTCCGCTCCTGTCGCCGCACCTCCCCAAGATCGTCGCAGCCGTCGTCCGTCGCCTGCGCGATTCCGAATCCACCTTAATCGAATCTTGCGCAGAAGCCATGGCCACACTCGTTCAACACGTACCCCCACCTCCCCACGATACCGTCCCCGGGGCTATTCCCGTCGGCGGCTTCGGAGCCATGGGTGTTTACGTTCGGCCGTTGCTCGACACGCTCGGCGAGCAGAGCCGAAACTCTCAGGCAGGTGCGGCGATCTGTCTCGACCGCGTTTTCCGGGCTGCCCGGGAGAAAATGGAGCCGAGTGCGGCGCGCGTGCTGACGCGTGCGAACGGGATGCTTTCGCGGCAGGGGTTTCAGGCGAAGGCGCAGCTGCTGGGCGCCGTTGCAAGCCTTGCCGAGGTACGTCGACTTGCGATCCTTGCTCAAGCTTCTGATACTTTGACGAACTTTCTTCCCGCATAAGTTCACGGGCTCGCAAGGCGCTGGTGCGCGCGCGCGTCTTTCCGACACGTGCGGACTCACGACTAGCTACTAGGAATAGTCTATGTCTCGCTCTCAGCAAAGTGCTCTTAACACATCCCCCCTAACTTTCCGCGCCGTCGCTACGCGCAGGTGTGCGGGGAGTCCATGGGCGCGCAGGTGCCCGTGCTGGTGTCCGCCGCGACCGCCGCCGTGGCGTCCGCGGACTGGGCCACGCGCAAGGCGGCGGTGGACCTGCTGGGGCAGCTCGCCATCAACCTGCCGGCGGAGTTTCTGGGGGAGAGCCGCGCGGCCGTCATGAAGGCGCTTGACCAGTGCAAAGGCGATAAGGTAGGGCGAGGGGATATAGGGGGAAGCGAGGTAAAAGGGGGCGAGATTAAGGAAATAAGGTAGGCAGCTCGCCATCAATCTTGCCTGCGGAGTTTCTGGGGGAGAGCCGCGCGGCCGTCATGAAGGCAATGGACCAATGCAAGGGGGATAAGGTAGGGCGGCGGGGCATGGAAGGGGGAAGGTAAAGGGGTTGAGGTAAAAGGGATAAGGTAGGGCTGCAGGGAACGGGTGGAGACCAAGTAAGGGGGGCAAGGCGAAGTGGAAAAGGTAGTGTGGAGGTAGGGTGGGGGTGGGGTGGCGGTGGACCTGCTGGGGCAGCTCGCCATCAACCTGCCGGCGGAGTTTCTGGGGGAGAGCCGCGCGGCCGTCATGAAGGCGCTGGACCAGTGCAAAGGGGATAAGGTAGGGCGGCGGGGCATGGGAAGGGGGGAGGTAAGGGGAGCGAGAAAAAGTAGAGTGGCGGTCATGAGAGAGTAGAAAAACGAGAGGCGAGATGAAGGGGATCGAGTGCAGCGGCAGGGCACGGGAAGTGAGGCAAAGGGGAAATGGTCGGGCCTTAGGAGGAGCGTGCAGCACTGCAATGCAGACTTGCTGCGACTGCTAGATAACTCAACTTTACCACATCCACATGCATCCAATTCCCTCCAACTTCTTACGCTGAATCTGTTTTGCAGGTGAAGAATGTGCGCGATTCCCTGGCGCAAGCGAAGCAGGCGTGGGCGTGTGTGGAGTGGGAGGACCCGCCTGCAGCAGGGCAGCACCAAGTGCCTCCAGTCCCTCCAATCCCCTCCACCCCTTACATTGAATGTGTTTCGCAGGTGAAGAATGTGCGTGATTCACTGGCGCAGGCGAAGCAGGCATGGGCATGCGTGGAATGGGAGGACCCGCCGGCAGCAGGGCAGCACCAAGTGCTGTCCGTGCCGTCCCTCTCGTCGGAATCAGCAGCGACGGCAGTTCAAACTCCGTCGCTGTCCTCTGCTGCTGCTGTTGGCAGCGCATCAGGTACGGAGAGACGCGTATGGAGGTGTGCGAGAGGCGTGTGTGGGAGTGTGAGACGCATATGAGGTGGTGTGAGACGGTAATGATGCGTGGCACGTGCCTTTCAACTCATGATGATGCTTCTGTCTTCTCCAATACTACATGGCATCAGGTTCTATACGACAACAATGTAGCATAGTATACGACAACAATGCTCCTGTTGTTTGCTCTCACCTCTGTGACAGCACAAACATAATCGTTTTCGCATTCCTGTCCGTCGCCCCCCTGCACCTTCTAGGAAGGCGCGCCAGTTTCTCACCTGGTGGAGCAGAAAACGACAAAAGCATTGGCAGCCGCTCACTCAAGCTTCAAGGCCGCTCGTCCTCGCTTGTAGCAGATCCGTTTCAAGGCACTCGAGAGGCAGCAGAGGCAGAAGAAGCAGCAGCTGCAGCATCAGCAGCAGCATCAGCAACAGCAGCAGCAGTATCAGTAGCTGCTGCCAGTGCGAACCCTGCCGTGAAGCGGGGTGGAGTGGGCGGCATATTGGCTCGCACGTTCAGTGGCCTGGGTCGAGCCCGAGCTAAGGAAGCAGCAGCAAGTGCTGCTGCTGCTGCAGGAGAAGTGGCAGGCGCAGGAGGAGCAGAAGGGGAGGGAGGAGAAGAGGGCGGAAGGAAAGTGGGGGTCAGCAAAGGGGGGATTGGGTCCCATGCGTGGGCTCCAGAACTATCTCAGGCAAAACCTGGGGAAACTCACAAAGGAGAAGCTACTAACGCGGATAACGGAGCTGGAGAGAAGGTTGCTCGGCCTAAGTTTGAGCGGCAGCCGTTGCGAGGGAACCCTTTGTTTTTCAAGAAGGCGGGCGCAGGGGGGAAGGCTGGGGGAGGTGACGACTGGTCCGTGGAAGTGATGGTTCCTAAATCGAAGGCCGGGGCAGTGGGGGAGAAGGGTGACAGTAACGGGGGGCCAGGTGAGGGCAGTGGAGGGAAGAAGGGTGATGGGAGGGGAGAGGGAAGGCAGGGGGCAGGGGCAGGGACAGGAGCAGGTGCGAAAGAGAGTCGAGCGCAAGCGGATGGGGCGAAGGCGCGGAGGCATTCAGCTTCGGGGATTGCTGCTATCAAAGCTGCGGCCGCAGCTGGTGGGAGAGGCAAGGAGGGCGCAGGGGGAGGGAAAGGAGCAGGAGCAGGGAGCGATTGGAATGTGGAGATTCTAGTGCCCAAGTCTCGTGGCGGATGGGGCAAGGGCGGTGGCGAGGCAGAGGAGAAGCGGGAGGTGGATGGAGAAGGGGTGAAGGAGATGAACGGAAGGGACGGTTTGGGCAAGGCTGAGTTGCAGCAGGAGGAGGTGGCGCAGAGTGCGATCCAGCAGCAGCAACAGGAGCAGGAGCAGCAGCTCCACCATCAGCAGCAGCAATACCAGCATCAGCAGCACCAACAGCAGCAGCAGCAACATCAGCAGTATCAGCAGCACCAGCAGCAGCACCAGCAGCAGCAGCAGCAGCAGCAGCAGCATCAGCAGCAGCAGTATCATCATCAGCAGATGCAGCAGCGAGTGGAGGAGAGGAACGAGGACGAGAAGCAGGAACTTCTGCACCACATGCTTCGAGGGGTAGAGGGAGAGAAGGACACAGGAGGGAGTACTGAACCCAGTGGTGCTTATTACAGGGGGCAGGAGGAGGGAGTGGGGGGTGTTATCAATGCTGCGGGAGGGCCTGCAGCGAGGTATGCTACTGGGTTGGAGAGTGAGGAGGAAAGGGAGGAGGAGGAAGAGCGGGAGGTGGGGAGAGAGCGTGAGGAGGAAATTGCACCAAAAGTGGAGAAGCGTGGCGAGGAGTCTCAAGGCGCAGAGAATGGCGCTTATGGTTCTAGCGAGTCTGACAATGACGAGGATGGGAACCAGCGGGAAGGTAGGGCAGGCGAATGGGAGGAGAGGAAGGGTTGGAAAGCAACAGGGGGCGGTGATGCCTTGGGAAGGCAGAAGTGGAGCAGGGGCAGGAACATGGTGCAGGGGCATGGGGCGGGGGAGTCAGAGGAGGAGAAGAATAGAAAGGGGGAGGAAGAGGCGGGTAGAAGGGGCAGGGGCGTGGGGGAGACGGGGAGGGGAGAAGGGGGAGCGGCGCTGCGCCAGTCGTACGACAGGGGGGGCACGGGGAAGGCTGGGAGGGGAGGTAAGGGTGGGGGAAGAAGGGAGGGAGTGAGAGAGGCGGAAGAGAGGGGGAAGGGAGTGGGTGGGGGTGTGAGAAGGGAGAGGGGAACGTGGGGAGAAGGAGGGGGTGGTATGAGGAGGAGTAATTCCTGGAGCAGTAGTCTGTCTGTTGATGCTGATACCACCGGTGGAGGGAAAAGGGCGGGAGTGAGGGGTGCCGGGAAAGCTAGGGACGTGCAGGGCAAAGGAGGAGGCTTTTGGGACGGGGAGGAAGAGGATGTGGGGAGGGTAGAGAGAGGGCGAATGAGGAGAAAGGAGGGGCGGGAGGATGGGAGCGGGAGGAGGAGGTATGGGTCGCTTAGTAGTCATCTGTCTTCGAGCGAGGAAGAGGAATATGTAGAGTCTTTTCCTCGTGCTCGTATGCGGCGTGGGTGGGCTAATAACGAGGATGCTACAGATTCGAGTCCAAAAGGAGGACGTAGAGACGGAAGGTGCGACGTTGGGAAGGGTGTGAAGCAGCAGCAGAGGCAGGGCGACACGTGGCAGAAGCAGGAGGTGACACGTCAGGAGGAGAAGCTCGGGCGGAGGAGGCCGCAGCAGAGTCAGTACCAGGGGCAGCAGCACCAGTCGAGGCAGAGCGGGTTGAAGAAGGCGGATGGAGAGCAAATGCAGATTAGACGCTCCTATGACTTGAGTCAGGCGTACCAGGGCAAGCAACAGAAGCAGCAGCAGCAGCCACAGCCATGGGAGCGGAAGGGGAAGGGCCGGAGGGCGGAGTGGGGAGGGCAGGCGGCGCAGGTGGTGCTTATGAGTGACTCTGGCAGTGGCGTGGGGCCGTGGACTAGAGGCAGGGAGAGGGAGGGAGCGAGGGAGGGAGTGAGGGGTGAGAGGAAGGGAGGCGGTAGGGAGTGGGAGAGGGGTGATGAGGAGGAAGATGAGGATGAGCATGAGGATGAGGGGGGGATGGAGGGGGAGGAGAATAGGCTCGGGGGAGGGCGGAGGGGAAGGAGGAGCAATAGAGGCTCTTCCGCTGCTGCGGGTGCGGATGCTGCTGCTGCTGCTGCGGCGGCGGCGGTGGCAGCGGCGGTGGAGGCAGAGGTGCAGAGACTGAGGCAGCGAGTGGCTGATATGGAGAGGCAGCAGGACAGCTACCAGGGCATGGTGGAGGTGAGTGGTTCACTCAATGAGGCATCAGTGTAGTTAAGTTGACTCAACAACTGAGGCAACGAGTGGCTGATATGGAGCGGCAGCAGGACAGCTACCAATGCATGGTGGAGGTGAGTGCCTAACTGAATGAGGCATCAGTGTTTATAATCTAGTTGACTCAAAGACTGAGGCGTGCTGCACGAGGGTAGATTTCTAGATTCGAGAATCAGGGCAACGAGTGGTGGATATGGAGCAGCAGCAGGCCAGCTGTTGGGGCTCTTACTCATCTCCATGCTCCCTCGCTGCCCTTCGCTCGTCTAAGTAGCATGAGCACCGTCAGGCGAACCTTCACAGCCTCGAGCTGCGAATGACCAATGCTTCTTATGTGCCTCTATCTCTCTCTCCCCCTTCTGCTCTCCATGCCCCCCACTCCGCAGGGTTTCATGAGCGCCACGAGGCGAACCATGGATAGCCTAGAGCTGCAAGTTATCCATGTTTCTTCCCCTCCCTCTCCCTGCACTTCCCCAACCCATAATCTTCCTGCCCCCCGCTCCGCAGGGTTTCATGAGCGCTACCAGGCGAACCATGGATAGTCTCGAGCTGCGAATGCTTTCACTCGAAGGCTCGCTCTCTACCCTAAAGTCCCTGCACCAGCACCAGGACCAGCACGAGCAGCAGCAGCTAGCGTTGGCTGAAGTGGAAGCGGCTCAGCTGCAGCAGCAGCAGATTCAGCAGGCTTACCACGAGCAGCAGCAGCAGTTGCAGCAGGTGAAGCTGTCATATTTGGAGCAGCAGCACCAGCAGCAGCAGCAGCTAGCACTGAGAGCCACACGAGCCATGCACAGTGTTGCTGCCTCTCCAGTGGTCGCCTCTCTCCCTTGGACCTCCAATGCTGCTGCCTCCCCCTCAACCCACGCTGTCCCCACCTCTCCTCACCCCATTTCCACCACCATCCTCCCTACCATGCCCTCCCCTTACCTCCCCGCTCGCATTCGCACCACTGCTGGTGGCGACAGCAGCAGGGGGCTCACCCCTGGACGAAGGTTGTCGTTGCAGGGAGGAGGAGGGATTGGTGGGATAGGAAGCAACGCTGGGGGGATAGGCAGTGGGTCTTTGGCTGGTGGCTTCGTGCAGGCACAGCCATTCTTGAATGGGTTTGGTGGTATTGGAGCAGGGAATGAAGCAGCTTATACGGAGGATGATTATGCTGCGGCTGCTGCAGCTGTGGCCGAAGCAGCAGCGGCGGCAGCAGCAGCTGAGGCGGCACGTGTGGCTTCATTCCAAAGTCAGCAGCACCAACAGCAGCAGCAACAACAGCAGCAGCAGCAACAGCAGCAGCAGCTGCTAACTCTAAGAAGAACCTCTTCCTTGAGCCGCGGACAGAACACCGCTCCTCCCACTGGCCCTCCCCGCACTCCTCCCCACTCCTCTACTGTCTCGTCCCCCCGCCTGCCTCTCAACACAAGCATGAATACAGAACAGCAGCAGCAGCAGCAGCAGCAGCAGCAGCAGCCGGAGCAGCAGCAGTTGTTGCTGCAGTGGCGAGGCAACTCTAGTCAGCAACAGGATCAGGGCGAGCAGATGAACCTTCACCAGGCTCAGGCCGAGCAGCAGCAGCAACTCAGAGCAGAGACGTTGCCAACAGCAGAGGGAGGAGGAGGAGGAGGGGGAGGAGGAGGGAGAGGAGGCGGGGGAGGAGGAGAATCCGAAGGTGCAGAAGCAGCAGCAGATAAGCCTCTAGGGCCGCTGAAGCGCCAGGTGGCACCAGCCAATTGGTCGTGGGCCGTGGCTTTAGATGAGCTCAAGGCCGGGGGGTTCGAGGGTGCTTATAAGGAGGTGCTGAAGGCTGCAGATGCGGGTGCCATGGTGCGGCTGATGGGGCGAACGGGGCCTGTGCTGGGGCATCTATCGCCTGATACTGGGGCGGAGGTTATACGGCGCATGGTGGAGCTGCTTATAAGGGGGACAGCCGTGGAGTACCTGCTGCCATGGGTTCGACAGGTGAGAGAAGGGAGGGGGTGATGTGCTGAGCTTTGGGTTGTGGGGGGGAGTGAAGGGATGCATAGTGAAGGGATGCGTGGAAGAAGGCTTGTTGATGCACGTGTGTGCTGACATGCCATCACAGCCGTGTATCATCTCCCATCTGCAGCGGTATGTGATTCGAAGTCTGGCTTTCTCCTTTTCTTCCCCCGGCTCTCCCCCGATGTTCCGCCCGACGCCCCCCCAGCTGTTAGACATAGTGACGGACGAGTATTCTCTAAAACATCGGGGAGATATTGAAATCACTTTTGAGAATTCTCAAAAGAGAATTCTCAAAAGTGATTTCAACATAGTGACGGACGGGTATTCTCTGGAACATCGGAGAGCGGAGCGCCTTTTGAGTCGACTCAAAAGTCACCCCAGCTGTTAGACATAGTGACGGACGAGTATTCTCTGGAACATAGGGGAGCGGAGCGCCTTTTGAGTCGACTCAAAAGTCACCCCAGCTGTTAGACATAGTGACGGACGAGTATTCTCTGGAACATCGGGGAGCGGAGCGCCTTTTGAGTCGACTCAAAAGTCACCCCAGCTGTTAGTGACGAACGAGTATTCTCTGGAACATCGGGGAGCGGAGCGCCTTTTGAGTCGACTCAAAAGTCACCCCAGCTGTTAGACATAGTGACGGACGAGTATTCTCTGGAACATCGGGGAGCGGAGCGCCTTTTGAGTCGACTCAAAAGTCACCCCAGCTGTTAGACATAGTGACGGACGAGTATTCTCTGGAACATCGGGGAGCGGAGCGCCTTTTGAGTCGACTCAAAAGTCACCCCAGCTGTTAGACATAGTGACGGACGAGTATTCTCTGGAACATCGGGGAGCGGAGCGCCTTTTGAGTCGACTCAAAAGTCACCCCAGCTGTTAGACATAGTGACGGACGAGTATTCTCTGGAACATCGGGGAGCGGAGCGCCTTTTGAGTCGACTCAAAAGTCACCCCAGCTGTTAGACATAGTGACGGACGAGTATTCTCTGGAACATCGGGGAGCGGAGCGCCTTTTGAGTCGACTCAAAAGTCACCCCAGCTGTTAGACATAGTGACGGACGAGTATTCTCTGGAACATCGGGGAGCGGAGCGCCTTTTGAGTCGACTCAAAAGTCACCCCAGCTGTTAGACATAGTGACGGACGAGTATTCTCTGGAACATCGGGGAGCGGAGCGCCTTTTGAGTCGACTCAAAAGTCACCCCAGCTGTTAGACATAGTGACGGACGAGTATTCTCTGGAACATCGGGGAGCGGAGCGCCTTTTGAGTCGACTCAAAAGTCACCCCAGCTGTTAGACATAGTGACGGACGAGTATTCTCTGGAACATCGGGGAGCGGAGCGCCTTTTGAGTCGACTCAAAAGTCACCCCAGCTGTTAGACATAGTGACGGACGAGTATTCTCTGGAACATCGGGGAGCAGAGCGCCTTTTGAGTCGACTCAAAAGTCACCCCAGCTGTTAGACATAGTGACGGACGAGTATTCTCTGGAACATCGGGGAGCGGAGCACCTTTTGAGTCGAAGTCACCCCAGCTGTTAGACATAGTGACGGACGAGTATTCTCTGGAACATCGGGGAGCGGAGCGCCTTTTGAGTCGACTCAAAAGACACCCCAGCTGTTAGACATAGTGACGGACGAGTATTCTCTGGAGCATCGGGGAGCGGAGCGCCTGGCAGTGGATGGGCATCTGAAGCAGCACGTGCTGGCAGCGCTGCCTCCCCCCTGATGCTCATACCGTGTTCCCTCCTTCTCCCCCTCCCCGTTCCCTCGCAGATGCTGGACATAGTGACGCACGAATCATCTCTGCCATATGAGGCAGAGGGCCCGGCAGTGGACGGGGGCAGCTGAAGCACCACGTGCTTACACCCCCTCCTTGTCTCCCCCCCAATCCTTTTCCCCCTCCCATCAACCACCTCAGCTCCTCGACATAGTGACCGACGAGTCCTCTCTCCCATATGGAGCAGAGGGTCCGGCAGTGGACGGGCATCTGAAGCAGCACGTGCTGGCAGCGCTGCAGCAGGTGGTGAGCGCCGATGGGGGCAGCTGGGTGGGGCGATCAGCAGGCGATTACCGGCGACAGCTGGCTGATGCGTGGGGCATGTGAGGAGGGAAAGCGCGGGCAGTAGTTGCATCCTAGGCAGTAGTTCCATCCTAGGCAGGGGGCGCAAGGCAGTGGATGGGCATCTGAAGCAGCACAAGCTGGCAGCGCTGCAGCAGGTGGTGAGCGCCGATGGGGGCAGCTGGGTGGGACGATCAGCAGGCGACTAGCGACAGCTGGCTGATGCATGGGGCATATGAGGAGGGAAAGAGCGGGCAGTAGTAGCATCCTAGGCAGGAGGTGCAAGGCAGTGGTTGGGCATCTGAAGCAGCACAAGCTGGCACCGCTGCAGCAGGTGGTGAGCGCCGATGGGGGCAGCTGGGTGGGACGGTCTGCAGGCGATTACCGGCGCCAGCTGGCTGATGCGTGGGGCATGTGAGGAATATGAGGGTTTTGGGTCTGGAGTGAGCACTGTAGCGAGATAGACAGTGCTGCAAGATGCTTCAGGAGTGCGAGCTGCAGTGGCAGCTGGGCCTTGGGGTTAACCTGCAGTTGAATTGGTGTCTGTCCTTGACTCTTCTCTTTTGGAGCTTTGGTCCACTGTGTTTGGATTGCTGAGTGGTAGTGTCTGTGTGTTTCCCTTGGTAGTCTTCATCTAGGTGTTGGTAGTCTGTTTTAGTACAGCTGGATTGAAAGTGCACCGTATATCTAAGATAAATAGCATGCAAACAAGGAATCTGCCAAATACTATCCAGCCAGCTCACACATAATCACTCAAGCCACACACACCAAGCCCTTCCATATCAATGGACCATGCAACGTGCGCTGTCATCCCATGTGCCACAAGGAGTGGCCCTGCCATACCACGATAGAGCCTCCTCACACATCTCTCCTTCAGCGGGAGATGGGCTGCACAACAAGGGGGGAACGCACGCTGTGGCCCTGGTTGTCAGCCCACACTATAAACCCGTACTGGAAGTCATTACTGGGGGTATCAACCGTGATCGTCAGCGTGTAGCTCGCCTTCTCCCCGGGAGCAAGCGTGAGGCTCTTAGTCGACACACCCACCTTCACCCCCTGCGGCGCCTTCCCAGATACACTGTACGTGGACCGGGACTGCCCCACGTTGGTGACGGTGCGGGTGACCTGCAGGGAGCCCTGCAGGCGAGGCAGAGTGATGGTGGGAAGGTTGAGGTTCCGAACAGCCAGAGGAGAGAGCGACACCCCTGGGAACTCCTTTTTCGCGCGGTTCAGATCCTGCCCGGCGAGGAAATTCTGGTAGTCGCGGTCGCGGGCATCGTAGGTAAGCCCGGGGTCGAGCATGGCCGGGGGGAACACATGGCCTGCGCCCATCTCCCATGGGGTGGCCTCCCCGCCCGTCGCACTCTTGATCGCGCTCTTGCTCGTGTCCGTCACCCGTGCTGTCGTCATCAGCGCTGACATCACCTGCGCCGGGGTCCAGTTGGGGTATTTCTGGATGATTAAAGCGGCTAGCCCGGCTAAATGCGGGGTGGCCATGGAAGTGCCCGACATGCGGGCGAGAGCGCCGGTTTCACCGGGTTTCTTCCCGGGAGCAGCGGCTACGAGGTCCACTCCGGGGCCGATGATGTCGGGCTTTAAGATGGCGTTGCCTGGCTTGGGCGGCTGGGCCGTGGCGGACGGCTGCAGCAAGGGGCCGCGGGAAGAGAAGTCAGCCACCACTGGGGCAGAGGAGGACGCAGTGGTGAAGGTGATGCCACCATCCGCACTCAGAACGGTGCCGCTGCCGTCCGTACCATCCGTGCTGTTGCTGCCGCCGGTGCCGTTGCAGCTGATGTTGCTGTTAGTGCTAGTGCTGAGAGCGAGCGACTGGGCGCCGGCAGTTGAGGCGAGGGACGCGCCGCCTCGGGCAATGCTGCTGGCGCCAACCGTGAGGTAGAACGGGGCGAAGTTGTCAAGCGTGCGGTAGAACCCTCCACGCCCGGGAGGCCCGGCGTTGCCGGCAGCAAAGGCGACAAACACCCCGGCAGCATTGGCGCGCATGAAAGCGAGATCGTTGAAATAGTTGTCGTCGGGATTCACGCCGCCCAGAGACAGCGACAGCACATCCACACCGTCCGCCACGCCCTGATTGACGGCTGCGATGATGTCTGATTCCGTCGCGTACATATCGCCGTTGCCGTCCGTCCAGAAGACCTTGTACGCCGCAATGCGCGCTGCCGGTGCCATGCCGCTCACCTGCCCGCCGCCCTGCAGCTTCACGGGGTTCCCCGCGGCCGCCCCCGCGCACCACGTGCCATGGCCGTCCGCATCTCGCGGCGAGAGCCAGTCGTTGCTCAGAACGGGCCGGCCGCTGCTCTGCTGGAAGCCGGCATAGAAGGCCTTGGCGCCGATCACCTTGTTGTTGCACCGGAACGAGCTCGACTGCTCGCACTTGCCCTTCCACCCCGCGGGCAGCTGCGAGGAGAGGCCCTTATCGCTGAAGGACGGGTGCTCGGGCCAGATACCCGTGTCCACGATCCCCACCACCGTGCCCTCGCCCGCCTTGCTCTGCCCGCCAACTGCCGGCCACACCTTCCCGGGCAGCCCCAGGAACTGCGGCGAGTCGCTGGTCTGCCGGCGGAACACGCGGCTGGCGCGGACGGACGCCACGGCGGGGTTGCGCCGCAGCCGCCACAGCTGGCGCGCCGTGAGGCGCGCGGCGAAGCCGTTGGACGTGTGCTTGTAGCTGTAGAGCAGCCCGTCCTCGGGTACGCCCGCCTCAGATGCCACCTGCGCCTGCTGCTGCTGCAGCAGCCCCGCGAACGCCGCCACCTGGGGGCGGTCCATGCTCAGACTCAGCCTGTGCCTCGGGCACCCGCCGCCACCGCCACAACCTCCATTACCGTTACCGTTACCGCCGCGACCGCCGCGAGCGCTCGGAGTGGCGGCGGCGTCAGATGTGTCGTTTGAGGGTGGCGTGGGCACAGTTTCGTTTGAAATAAGGTGGTCGCCGTTGGTGTCGTCCAAATCGACGGATTTGCCGCCTGCGGCGGCGGCGGAGTCGCCGGCGGGGAGAATCATCTGCGGCACGGCGTCGCTGTCCTCCTCGTCGCTGCCGTCGTCCCACGTGGCCGTCGCGGGGTAGCCCGCGATTCCGCCGCGGTATTCGGAGAGGGGAGGCGCGGTGCTTAGGCGGACGATGTAGACGGCGGAGCTATCCGCTGCTGGCGTTGCAAATTTGCCGGAGTTTTCCCTGGAGGGAGCTGCGAAATGAGCATTTTCGCCGCCGTTCCGCCATGCGCGGTTCAAGTTGCGCCAAACTGATTCGCGGCTTGCACTGGATGGCTGCGCCGCCAGGAGGAATGCGGCGAGAAGCAGCAGCATAACGATCGCAGGACCGTCCCTCATGGCGATACTAGAATCTCTTCGGGCAGGTATTGCTTCTAAATGTGCCTGTCACGGTTGCCTGCAGGTGTTTATTGGCCTAAAACAAGTAGTAGCAGAACGAATTGAAGGAACCGATGTCGAATATTGCTTCTAAGGCTTGAATTGTGATGCTGGTTCGAGTGGGCATGTGCTTGGTTTTGTACTCACCACCACCACCTCACATGCGGAGCGCCACATTTGGGTGGGGGCCTCGTCGCGCCGCGATGCACCTGCCTGGATGGTCAAAATTGCACGAGGTCCGAAGCTGGGGCAAGTGAGGGATTACTCGGACTGGCCCGCGACTACGGTTGAACAATGGTTCACCAGTTTCGCGAAACATTTCATCAGGTACAGCGATGCACTGTGTTACTGCATGGGTGGCTCCAAGTGTTACGCTAAGAATTTCGCATCTCTCACGCTTTCGCAAACATGCTGTCTTCGCGTACTCTGTATATCCGTGACGGGCACTTGAAGCTTGGGCATTTCGGATTTATGTGCAGCTAACATTGCGGCGCGGGAATAGGTGGTCCGAGAGTGCACAAGACGGGACCGATCCAGTGTGTGGGGGTTTTGTGGTTTCGCATGCGTTTTCGCATCAGATCACTGGCCTTGGGAAATTCGTGGTGAAGAAAGCACGAAGTGCTGGTAACGGGTCTACCATTGTTCAGACGATAGTCGTGGAAGTCAACTGGCAAGGAGCCTGCAAGCCCACGCAAAAAATGCTTAGGATGCACATTTCATTTGTATTTATAGTGACTACAGGATACAATCTGATCTTTGATTTGTTCTGGAGTAGTTATTCAGCATGGACATCATTGGCTCACTAGCGTTAGTGACAGCTTGGGCCGATTGGGCTGCGGCTCGATGACCTCAATGTGCACAGTCACTGTGTCCAACACCTTGAATCGCCGCTTCCCGTCTTTCGATTCCACCGTCTGAGACTTCTCATCCACCACCCAGTCACTTGATGGCGCATTTCCGTCAAGCTTGTTGGCCGCAACAACTGCAGCAGCTTTCCCCTTGGGAGGTTCCTTTGGTACGAGATAGACTGGTCCCTCTATGCCATACCTAGAATTGAGCAAAGAAAGGGAAAGCGCATCACACAGGTTGTGCAGCAGGTGTGGGTTGTGCATACACAGAACACAGAATGCGAGGTTTTTGTACACAGCATATGCACACAGGAAATTGTTGGAAAAAAAACTTCAAAACATAAAACAAATTAGCGTCGCTTACTTGGGCACGAAGACGATGAGCCCATTGGAGCGAACCATCACAATCCGACCCTCCGCATCCGTTGGGCTGGCGAGGACATGATGAGAGGAGACAGGTTTGAGGGAGGCAGGGTTGAGGGTGAAAAAGAAGAGTGCAAAGCAAGAGACTTGCTGTGCACGAGAAGCATAGGAAGAAGCAAGCACGAGTGTAGGAAAGGGAGTAATTGTAAGAAGGACTCGCTGACAGCTCACCGAGTGCGGAAGAAAATGAGGGTGTGAAGCTCCACCGATGCTCGCCCCGCCATCTGAGCATTGCGGTTGCGATAGTTGAGGTCTGGGTTGAGAGGGTGGGGGGGTTTGAGGGGAGGACGGAGAGAGGGAGCGAAAAACAGGAAGAAAGAGAGCACGTGATGAAAGATGGGAGCTATGAGCTTGTGGCTTGAAACACATGTGCCACTTTGTTGTGACTTGTGATGGCAATCGCAATTAAGGCACGTCGTGTCCCTGCAATTAATGTTGGTGCACGCAGATGCACACCCAGGTGCTGCCTCCTGTTTCCATGGGCTCGCCGCTCGCATACGTCAGTGTCGCATCAGAGAGCATTCCTCCATTAACTATCAGAAAACAGCTACGGCACATTCTGAACATGCATGGAATCGCCAGAGAAACCTTGCAATGCGGTGGTGCTTACTATCGGTGAGGGCAGTGAGGGCGGTCTTATCCTTGGTCTGATCCGGCAGCGGTGTCAACCCGATGGCTGCAGCCAGCAGACGATGCACCACCACGTCTGCATGGGCATGGGTAAAGACGCAATTGGGGTACCGGAGGGGGGGGGGAGGAACTGAGGATGGGGAAGTTCTGAGACGCCTCAAAATGAAGTGGTGTCAACCCAATGGCTGCGGCTAGCAGGCGATGCACCACCACATCTGCATGGGCGCGGGCGTAAATTCACAGCCAGGGTTGGGGGGCAGACGGAGGGAGGGGAAGGTTGATTTGCCAGTACAGCACACGATGAACAAGAGAAGCAGACAGCAGGCGACACCAGGCGAGAGCAGGGGAGAGGAGGAGAGACGAAGGTAAGGGAAGTGCGCCACGAGCGTATCGGCGTATCGGCGTATTCTCACCAGCGTAGCGGCGGATGGGTGAGGTGAAGTGGGTATAGATGGGGGCTGCGAGCCCGTAGTGGTGGTACTCTGCAGGGGCGAGCTGGCCGCTGGGGAAATACACAGCCTGGAGAAGCATGGGAGCAGGAGGGAAAGATGAAAACGTTGAAAGGAGGAGAAGTAAATAATTATCAAAAGTAAAATGGAAGGGTCTCGAACAACCTGCATGCACCTTTGCTAGTCCCACGCATGAAACTATGCTATCAGTCATGACTGTTGGCTCGCACCGAGACATGCATGATCGTATACATGCACACACTCTCATACCATGCATGTCCCTTCACCGCGTATCTTTGCAAGCTCCCACCTGAGTCATGCAGCGAGTGGTGAGGATTCGGATGAGCTTGTTAAAATAGGGGTCTGGGCCCTGAGGGGGGAGAGAAGTGAGATGGGACAGAGGGGCACGAGAGGAGCAGAGGGGCAGAGGGGCGGAGGGGCATACGGGACGGAGAAGGTTAGAGGCGCAATGGAGATGGTAGCAATAATGGAAGTGGGAAACCAGCTGTGGGATATCAGGAAAATAAGGGAGAACTCTAGATGGTCACGCATGTCAGGAAAGTCAACAAGAGTCAACGGGAACGCACCCTGGTCAACTCACCACAGCGCGGTCAAGCGAGTCAGCGAGGTTCTTGGAGGAGGAGGTGTCAACAGCGACCCCACCGCCTCTGAAGTGAATTTGTGAGACGTCTCAAAAACTCACCACAGCTTGGTCAAGCGAGTCAGCAAGGTTCTTGGAGGAGGACGTGTCAACCGCAATCCCCACCGCCTCTGCTGTGCGCAGCAGCGGCTCAAACATGTTGGGCGACGGGGTGGGGTGCCGCCTGTGTGGGGGAGAGAATAATGGTATGGAGGGAGAGAGCGTGGGGTTCATGGACAGGTGAGAGACATGCGTATAGTGCTCATTGAGAGAGATGAGCTCTCACGTATAGGCCAACAACGCACCAGGAATTTCACCTGAGACTCCACCTGACATTTCACCTGAGATAATACCTGGGATTTCACCTGAGGTCTCAGCGAAAAATCACCTGAGCAGGGAGCAGGAGGCGAAGTGCTGGAGGATCTTGTCTGCCACGGACACATTGGCTGCCAGCATGAACTCCTCTATCATGTGGTTGGCCTCTCGCACCAGGTACATGCCTGGATGGAGGGTGAGGGGGTTGAGTGGCAGAGAGAGGCAGAGGGGTGGACAGGGGGGGGGGGGTTGCACTGATCGCATGCCAGCATGAACTCCTCTATCATGTGATTGGCCTCTCGTACCAGATACATGCCTGATGGGGGAGAGGCGGAAGGGGAGGGGGGGATTGGAAGGGGGAATGGGCTGCATGCCTGCAGGTAACACATGCAGGGAAGGGTGGCGATGGCAGGGCAGGGATGCTTACGGCAGGGAGTGGAGGGCGGCGGAAAAAGGGCGTGAGGACGAGCCTGAGGAGAGGAGTGGCATGCAGAGAGGCAGAGAGGGTCGTCGTACCAACGTCGAGAGGATCGTGTGTCTCAGTGTCGATCTCAAACTTGACTTCCGGTGATGCCAGGGTGAGTGCTCCCCTGTCTATGCGCCGCTGCCGCATCACCTGGCGTGGGCACGGGGATGGCCATGGGGAATGGGGCAGGGAAGGGGGGGGGGCCGAGATAGGGGACGAAACACGGGTGAAGCGCCATTAAAGCCAGGGTCTCACGTACTACAAGTGCTTTGCAATTGATGGTGAAAGTGTGGCTTTGATTGGTTGGCGAGGTGTAAGGTTAGAAGTGGGGTGAAGCGAGGGGTGCGAAGCGAACGTAAATCGCTGGGGGTAACCGAACCATCTAGGCTTGGAAACTTGGTTCGGAGCCAAACCTAAAATGCCCCCAACTCATCGAAAGTCTCAAGTACCCAAAAGTGTTGTGCAATTGCTTTTGGGGCAGTGACGCAAGCTGAGTTTCCAACCCAACCAGAGACAACTTCGCCAGCACTAACTTGGTTACCTAGCTTCAAGTGCTTTGCAGTCGATGGCTCCTTAGCTTACATGAGACCCTGGCTTTAAGAGGCGAGGATGGGCGTTGCCATGCTACGTGATGTAAGGGGTACTTGCGGTATGGCATGATATGGCATGGTATGGCATGGCATGGTATGGTATGGCATGGCATGGTGGTATGGTATGGTATGGTATGGCATGGCATGGTATGGTATGGCATGGCATGGTATGGTATGGCATGGCATGGTATGGTATGGTATGGCATGGCATGGTATGGTATGGCATGGCATGGCATGGTATGGTATGGCATGGCATGGTATGGCATGGCATGGTATGGTATGGCATGGCATGGTATGGTATGGTATGGCATGGCATGGTATGGTATGGCATGGCATGGTATGGTATGGCATGGCATGGTATGGTATGGCATGGTATGGTATGGCATGGCATGGTATGGTATGGCATGGTATGGTATGGCATGGCATGGTATGGTATGGCATGGCATGGTATGGTATGGCATGGCATGGTATGGTATGGCATGGCATGGTATGGTATGGCATGGCATGGCATGGTATGGCATGGCATGGCATGGCATGGTATGGTATGGCATGGCATGGTATGGTATGGCATGGCATGGTATGGTATGGCATGGCATGGCATGGTATGGTATGGCATGGCATGGCATGGTATGGTATGGCATGGCATGGTATGGTATGGCATGGTATGGTATGGTATGGCATGGCATGGTATGGTATGGCATGGCATGGTATGGTATGGCATGGCATGGTATGGTATGGCATGGCATGGTATGGTATGGCATGGCATGGTATGGTATGGCATGGTATGGTATGGCATGGCATGGTATGGTATGGCATGGCATGGTATGGTATGGCATGGCATGGTATGGTATGGCATGGCATGGTATGGTATGGCATGGCATGGTATGGTATGGCATGGTATGGTATGGCATGGCATGGTATGGTATGGCATGGCATGGTATGGTATGGTATGGCATGGCATGGTATGGTATGGCATGGCATGGTATGGTATGGCATGGTATGGTATGGCATGGCATGGCATGGCACCTTGGCCAGGCGGTTGAGGTTGCGAAGGTCCCTTGTGAGGTCATCATGCATGCGCCTGACGCCATGGTGACGTCGGTCAGCAGAGGGTGGGGTGGGGCGAGGGTGAGAAAGGGAGAGGGAGGCAGACGGGAGGAAGAGGAAGGAAGCAAGTAGAGGGGGACGCAAGCGAGGGGGATGGTAGAAATTTAATGTAACCTAGCTTAGGCATATTGGTGCGTGGAAGATGAAGGGCATGGTGAAGGGATGGGACTGTCATCATCATCATCTACAGCTACCATCATCCACACACAGGCTACCCACAAGATGGACACTCAGTGACCAACCATGCAGGGACCCATTCTTTTCTTCCATGCATCCCTCACAGGCTGCACACATCCGTCCGATACTCACTCGCCATACACCCCTCACTTCACTACTACTATAATACACACACAGGCCTGCGTACACCCCATGCATGCATCACTCACTCATCATCCATGCGAGCCTGTGCCTCCACATCGGAGAGCTCTATGCACATGCACGTGTACTTGCCTGCATGCCCCCAATGCAACCATCACTCACTCATCATCCATGCGCGCCTGTGCCTCCACATAGGACAGCGCAGCGGCGGATTTGATCACGCTCTTGGTGAAGCGCACCGATACGATCTCTGCCTCTGGGGTCATTTCCTGGTGGTGGTGGTCGTGCCGAGGAAACAAAGCGGTCAAAGCAAGGGTATCAATCAACGGTAGAGACAGCACCAGCAGCAGCAGCAGCTGCACTAACAACAATACGAACAACGCACTCGCAGCAGCAGCAGCACCGACAGCGCTAACTAGCAGCAGCAGCAGCAGCAGCACTGACAGCGCTAACTAGCAGCAGCAGCAGCACTGACCCAAATACAGGAGAAGGCGAGTCGCTCCACACCACCACGCAGGGAGCAGATGTCTGGCGAGGGGAGGCGAGGGGTGAGGTGAGGGGTGAGGCGAGGTGAGGCAGAGTGGGAGGGTGCAAGTGAGGAGCAGGAAAGGATGAGAATCGTGTGGGACAGTGAGGATAAACAAAAGGTGGGATGGATGCACACATGTTTGGTGATCGGAATGCTGCGTGCAGGACTAGTGCGAAATTTCAACACAGCAATCAGCTAGCTGCACTAGGTAGCACGTCCCCCTTTGTCCTACCTTCAGTCACCGGCTTTGTCAGCATGGCACACAACTTGGCGTGGAGCAATTCCTGTGAGAAAAAGAAACACCGTCCTCGCCCTCCTACCGTCAACGAGCGGCACGAGCAAACGAACCTCAGTGAGCGGCTTGGGCAGCATTTCAATGCGGCGCTCCACGAGGTACAAAGACGTGCCTCGCTGCGACGCCATGCACATCCCATTTAACCTCCTGCCTACCTTCAGTCAGCGGCGTGCCATACCTTCGGTCAAGGGCTTGGGCAGCATGTCAATGCGGCGCTCCACCAGATACACGGATGTGCCTCGCTGTGATGCCATGCTCATTGTAATCAACCTCCTCCTCACCCTTGTACCTTTTGTGAGTGGCTTGTGCAGTTTGTGGCCTACCTTTTGTGACCGGCTTGCCGTACCTTCGGTCAAGGGCTTGGGCAGCATGTCAATGCGGCGCTCCACCAGGTACACGGATGTGCCTCGCTGCGACGCCTCCAGGTCCTAGTGAACCTCCTCCTCGACCTTGTACCTATTGTGAGCTCGGGCAGCGTGTTAGCAAACGAACCACCCCAACCTCCCACCTTCAGTGAGCGGCTTGGGCAGCATGTCAATGCGTCGCTCCACCAGGTACACAGATGTGCCTCGCTGCGACGCCTCCACATCCAGTGGCGTGCCTGGCAGCACAAAGTTGGTCACATCTGCTATGTCTGCACAGGGGAGCAGGCGGATGGGAGACATGTGGGATGGGAGAGAGGCGGGATCTGGGATAGGTGGGTTTTGAGTCGACTCAGGTCACATCCGCTACGTCTGCACAGGTAGGCAGGACGGATGGGAGAGAGGAGGGATATGGGACAGGTGGGGTGGGAGAGAGGCGGGATGGGAGACAGGAGGGATCGGAGACGGAAGGGATATGGGACAGGTGGGGTTGACGTGGGGGGGGAGGGGCAGGCAGGATATGTTGAGTCGTGAATGATGCAGAACACACATGCAGATGGCGCTTTCACTGTCACAGCACCTGATGGGATCCACTACACTGAAAACCAGCTGAGCCCTAACGCTTCCTTACTTCCACTGAAAAGTCAGGTTTTACTTATGAACGCCAACGTCAAAGTTGCCATTGGGGAGCGGCACGCAGTGCAGCGCGTCGTCAATATCCCGGCACCCGATGGGGTCCACACTGAACACAAGCACACGCGCCTGCCCTCGACTCGCATTCGTTCTGAAGATCCCTAAAAGAGACACAATCACAGCCCCTAGACCTCCCTTCCCTCCCACAGCAAGGTTACCATCACTCACGGACGCCAACGTCGAAATTGCCATTGGGGAGCGGCACACAGTGCAGAGTGTCGTCGATATCCCGACACCCGATAGGGTCGACACTGAACACACGCACAGCCCTTGTGTTTCCTTCCACAGCAAGGGCAGCACTCACGTAAACAGCCCCTAGACTTCCCTTCCCCAGCAATGTCAGCACTCACATGCACAGCCTAGACGCTTCCCCACACATCAAGACCAGCACTTACGGACGCCAACGTCAAAGTTGCCATTGGGGAGCGGCACGCAGTGCAGAGCGTCGTCAATATCCCGACACCCGATGGGGTCAACACTGAACACGCGCACGTGCCGCAGGTCCTCCCTTTTGGTGCGCGGGTCGGTGACGTCTGAAGGAGATACAGACCAGGGCAGCGGTGGCAGGCATGCCAGCACTTGCTGGGAGAAGGGGCGCGCATCGATATCGTTTTCCATCAGCAGCAGCTGGAGGGGGGGTTTGGGGAAGGGGAGGGGGAAACGGGAGAACTGTTCAGCACTCGCTCTCTGTCTGTCTCCCTGTCCCCGAAATCTGGCGTCTTTAGAAAATCCCCCAAGGAAAATGCACCGGCGAGGCGGGTCGCCCACCCCCTTTTAACCCTTGCCTGCCCGAATTCCTGCGCCCTGCTCATCATCATTCTCTCTCCCCACCCCCCTTCACCCCACTCCTCCCCCCTCCCTTCCCCCCTTCATTCTTGCCCCCGTCTCACCTCGCTCTCTGTCTCCCTGTCGCCGATATCCCCCAGCGTCTTCACATAGTGCCCCGAGGGGAACGCACTGTCGGGCTGCCAACCCCATTACCACCCCATCCCACCCCTTCCCATCCATTCCCACCCTGCTCCTTCACCCATTCATGCCACCCCCGTCTCATATCGCTCTCTGTCTCTCTGTCGCCGATATCCCCCAGCGTCTTCACATAGTGCCCCGAGGGGAACGCACTGTCCGGCTGCCAACCCCATTACCACCCCATCCCACCCCTTCCCATCCATTCCCACCCTGCTCCTTCACCCATTCATGCCACCCCCGTCTCATATCGCTCTCTGTCTCTCTGTCGCCGATATCCCCCAGCGTCTTCACATAGTGCCCCGAGGGGAACGCACTGTCGGGCTGCCAACCCCATTACCACCCCATCCCACCCCTTCCCATCCATTCCCACCCTGCTCCTTCACCCATTCATGCCACCCCCGTCTCACCTCGCTCTCTGTCTCCCTGTCGCCGATATCCCCCAGCGTCTTCACATAGCGCCCCGAGGGGAACGCACTGTCGGGCTGCCAACCCCATTACCACCCCATCCCACCCCTTCCCATCCATTCCCACCCTGCTCCTTCACCCATTCATGCCACCCCCGTCTCATATCGCTCTCTGTCTCTCTGTCGCCGATATCCCCCAGCGTCTTCACATAGTGCCCCGAGGGGAACGCACTGTCCGGCTGCCAACCCCATTACCACCCCATCCCACCCCTTCCCATCCATTCCCACCCTGCTCCTTCACCCATTCATGCCACCCCCGTCTCACCTCGCTCTCTGTCTCCCTGTCGCCGATATCCCCCAGCGTCTTCACATAGTGCCCCGAGGGGAACGCACTGTCGGGCTGCCAACCCCATTACCACCCCATCCCACCCCTTCCCATCCATTCCCACCCTGCTCCTTCACCCATTCATGCCACCCCCGTCTCATATCGCTCTCTGTCTCTCTGTCGCCGATATCCCCCAGCGTCTTCACATAGTGCCCCGAGGGGAACGCACTGTCCGGCTGCCAACCCCATTACCACCCCATCCCACCCCTTCCCATCCATTCCCACCCCGCTCCTTCACCCATTCATGCCACCCCCGTCTCACCTCGCTCTCTGTCTCCCTGTCGCCGATATCCCCCAGCGTCTTCACATAGTGCCCCGAGGGGAACGCACTGTCGGGCTGCCAACCCCATTACCACCCCATCCCACCCCTTCCCATCCATTCCCACCCTGCTCCTTCACCCATTCATGCCACCCCCGTCTCATATCGCTCTCTGTCTCTCTGTCGCCGATATCCCCCAGCGTCTTCACATAGTGCCCCGAGGGGAACGCACTGTCCGGCTGCCAACCCCATTACCACCCCATCCCACCCCTTCCCATCCATTCCCACCCTGCTCCTTCACCCATTCATGCCACCCCCGTCTCATATCGCTCTCTGTCTCTCTGTCGCCGATATCCCCCAGCGTCTTCACATAGTGCCCCGAGGGGAACGCACTGTCGGGCTGCCAACCCCATTACCACCCCATCCCACCCCTTCCCATCCATTCCCACCCTGCTCCTTCACCCATTCATGCCACCCCCGTCTCATATCGCTCTCTGTCTCTCTGTCGCCGATATCCCCCAGCGTCTTCACGTAGTGCCCCGAGGGGAACGCACTGTTCAGCTGCCAACCCCTTCCCACCCACCCTACCAACCCCCCTCCCCACCCCCCTCACCTCGCTCTCTGTCTCCCTGTCGCCAATGTCTCCTAATGTCTTCACGTAGTGCCCCGAGGGGAACGCGCTGTCGGGCTGCCAGCTGTCAATCGCCACCAGGATGCGCTTGCCCATCAGCTGGGCGGCCTGCCTTGTCTCCACGCGGATGCGCGGCACCCTGCGGTCGGCAGCCACGAAGAGAGCGCGGACCAGCGCTCCTGCTGATGCCGGGGGCGTGCGCATGGGGGCGAGCGAACCTGCATAGCTGGGGGAGAAAAGGAGGGGGGTTGGCAATAGGAAATAGCAGGGGAGAAGAAGGGAAGGGAGGAGTGGGAGTTGACTCACGAGGCACCCTGCGGTCGGCAACGACGAAGAGAGCGCGTACCAACGCTCCTCCTGATGCTGGGGGCGTGCGCATGGGGGCGAGGGAACCTGCATAGCTGGGGGAAAGAAGAGGAAGGAAAGGAAGTAGCAGGGGACAGGGTGCAGGGAGGAGTGAGAGAGTTGAGTGAAGAGGCACCCTGCGGTCGGCAGTGACAAACAGAGCTCGCACCAACGCTCCTCCTGATGCTGGAGGCGTGCGCATGGGGGCTAGCAATCCTGCATAGCTGGGGGATGACGGGGAGAGGGAGGGACGAGAAGCAGGACAGAGCGGGTGGCAAGAAGGAAGAAGCAAGGCGTGAAGAGGCGCCTTGTCATCAGCAGCCGTGAAGATAGCAGGACGAGAGCAGCAGCTAGCAGACAGAGGAGACCGCAACTTGCACGGCAGGGAACACGACGACCAGGGAGCAGCAGGGAGGCTACGAAGCTTAGAGGAAGGAGGGAAGGGTTGGTTGGAACAAGGGATTTATCCGGTGGCATAAAAAACACAAGGGGAGTACCATCTCCTTGCTACCAAGGAGACTCTTCCCTGTAACTCACGTGCGCCAGTTGCGTTTGATCACCCCCACCACCCGTCCCGTTGGCCTTGCCAGCTCAGATGGCCCCTTCCCCCCCTCTCCCCCTCCCCCGTCTTTCCCCTTTTCTCCCCCTCCCTCGCCCTTGCCGTCCCCACCCTTATCCAGGGAGAGAGCAGCAGCAGCAGAGGAGAGAGTGGATGGTGCGTCATCTGCAGAGGCGGGAGGGAGTCCCACTGAGTCCTCCTCGCCCTGCTCCTCCGCTGATGGGGTTGGCAGTGGGAGAGGAGACGGCAGGAAGGGGCGGGGAGAGGAGACGAGGGGACGGTAGGGAAACCATGGCGATTTGTCAGCAGAGGCGGGAGGGAGTCCCACTGAGTCCTCCTCGCCCTGCTCCTCCGCTGGTGGGGGATGGTTCATACATGGATGAGGCGAGAAGGGGAGAGAGGGGAGGAAGGGAGAAGAGGGGAGAGGAGGGGAGGAGGGGAAGCACGATAGCATCCAGCCCGCCGCTTCCTCCCTCTCTCCCTCCCTCCCCACCCCACTCACCAGCAGCTTCGTCCTGGTCATCCTCCCTCTCCCTCAGCGCCCCGCTAGTGGGTTCCTTCCACTGTTTTTCTTTAAGGGCGCCTTACTGCTCCCTCGCCAGCACCTCCAACGCCACCACATGCACCCTTAAGGCGCCCTAAAAAAAAAAAAAACTCGAAAAGGGTGCAGTGCAGGCCTCTTAAAAAGCACGAATGAGAAACACAAGTACAACCCCATCCCCTCTACTCACCAGCAGCTTCATCTTGATCATCCTCTCTCTCCCGCAGCGCCCCGCTAGTCGGTTCCTTCCACTGCTCCCTCGGCAGCAGCACCACCGCCACCACATCCCCGTCCACCCTTAAGGCGCTTCTATGGAAAAACAAACTCACCAGCAGCTTCATCTTGATCATCCTCTCTCTCCCTTAAAGCCCCGCTCGTCGGCTCCTTCCATTGCTCCCGCGGCAGCAGCTCCACCGCCACCACATCCCCGTCCACAGCGCGGTTCATATCGCATCTGCCTATAACGAGGATTTCGTCGCCCAGGGACTCGGAGCCCACAAACGCCTCGAAGCAGTTGTAGCGGCTCACTCGCAGCTTGCCCTGGTGGTATACCCCCCGCTGCAGGCCTGCCGTTATGGCCGACATGGGCTTGTGCTGGTGGAAAGAGCAGTGGGCAGGAAAATCAGAGTACAGAACAGGGACAAGGAAAGGGGTTGAGGTGAGGAGTCGAGGCAGTTGTAGCGGCTCACACGCAGCTTGCCCTGATGGTACAACCCCTGCTGCAACCCCACTGTTATGGCTGACATGGGCTTGTGCTGGTGAGCGGCGGGAACATCAAGGTACAAGACATGGAAAAGAAAGGGGTTGAGGTGAGGAGTCGAAGCAGTTGTAGCGGCTCACTCGTAGCTTGCCCTGGTGGTACAGGCCCCGCTGCAGCCCGGCTGTTATGGCTGACATGGGCTTGTGCTGGTGAGATGGGATTTGAGAAACATAAGGAGAATGGAGTGGTTGGCGGCAGTACAGTTGCAGCAGCTCAGCCTCTAGCTTGCCCTGGTGGTGGCACACCACATCATACCACATCACACACCGCACCACACCACACCACACCACGATTCACACCACACCACATCACACCACATCGCATCACATCCATCCCGATTAGTCGCCACCCACCCCACAACTCACATCCGAGTAAATCCTCTTCCTCTTGCTGCGAGACACGTTTGTCCGGAGCCCCCGATTCTCCTCCTCCCTCGCCGCCTTATCCCCCTCCCCTCCCTCCCCTCCTTCCCCCTCCTCCCCATCCCCCGCACTAACCACCAGATCCATCAGCTCTACACTCCCCAGCGATGTCACATACTCTCGCACTCTCATGGCCTTTGTGCCGCCCGCCACCGCCTTTGCCAGGTTGGCTTTGTCGTCTGTTATGAGCACGACCGGCACTTTGCCGCCCAGATGCCGCTGGTACCACTGCGCTGCCACCCGGATGGCTGCAAGGGGTGAGGTGAGAGAGAGGCGGGGGGTGGGGAAAGAAGGGATGGAGGCGGGGGAAAGGGGAAGGAAGGGGGTGAAGGTTGGGCGAGGAGAGAGTGGAAGGATGGGGAAGACAGCAGGTGTGATACATGGGTGCATGGGCTCCCATGCTGACTCATGACTAACTCGTGCATGACCCATGCTAACTAACCTAACCTTACCTTACCCACTCACTCAGTTCAAACTTCACCCGTACTTAACTACTTCATTCTCAACACCAGCACGGCTGTGGTGCCCCACAAGCACTGGTTGTACTGCAGACAGTACTTCAAGTGCAGCAGCTCTTGCTGCGGTGCCCCTCAGAGTCGCATCTCACCTCTGTCGTTCCTGTCATTGGGACTCTCCCCTGGCTCCGCCTTGATGTACGTGTCCCTGTGAGCCACATACGTGGTCGCGGAAGTGCAATGGGGAAGGACGAAGCGACAGGGAAGGATGAAGGGGGGAGGGAAAGGGGAAGGGGAAGCGGAGCGAGGAAGGGGAAGAGGAAGGGGAAAGGGGGAGGGGAGGGAGGAGAGAGGAGCGTAAAGGAGGAAAGAGATTGGTAAAGAAAAGTAACGGAAATCCAAGGGAGCAAACACGATAAGGTGGGAGGATGGAAAGGGTGGTGGTGGTGGAGCACGAAAAAGAGCGGCCAGGTTGAGTAAAAAGAGAGGGTAGGCACGACTGAGAGGTAAGCAGGCAAGAACTGCACGTGTTCTTACCCGTGGTGCTCAATAGAGCCTCTGCCTGGCGCAATCGCACATGAACACTCACTTGTGGTGCTCGTTGGAGAAGACAAAGAAGCGGCGGGACTCCAGACATGAGCAAATGCCAAAACGAGTAATACTCGACTCGTTTTCAGGCGACTCGTTTTGAAAACGAGTCGAGTCGAGTATTACTCGTACGAGTAATTTTGCCCCTAGGGCCGACTCGTTACTCGTTGAAAAAAACGAGTAATTCAGTACTCGGTCCGAGAGATGAATTACTCGTTTTGAATCAAGTAATACTCGACTCGGTTTTAACAGTATTATTGTTCTCTTGTTTTTTGTAGGTAATTGTACCCATGCCAATGTTGCTGATTCAGTGTGTAACTCACTACCGAAAATGGGGCAGGCTAGGATAAAATTACTGTCACACTGAGGTTAGAATAATTTAAGGGTCATGATTCATTACGCTAAGGTATGCGCGCACATTGGCGTGTGCGGGTTAGAGAGGAGTATAGAATACTTAAAAACTGATCGAGTAGATCGAGTAGGAGGGACTATATCAATTGAGTAGGAGGAACTAGAGAAGGAGGAAAATTTATCGGTATGCATGCTTGTGTCTTGCAGATCGAGAAGGAGGAACTAGATCAATCGAGGGGAAAACTTCCGCGAACAGAACTTGGGTAGGCAGATCGAGGGGGAAACTGATATGCAAACAGTAGATTGTGATGTCATATCGCGCGGGAAACAGATCTGCACCCAAATTTTGTGATGGCAGATGGAGCGGGAAACAGATCTGCTCAAACAAAATTCAGTAACCCCCCACCCACCCCCCCCAACCTCCCGCCCCCCCCTCCTCCACCAGACTCGAAACCGAGTAATCGGCGAGTACCGAGTACTCGTTCACTCACGAGTACTCGTTTTACCCTAAATTACTCGTTACTCGATTTCGGAAACGAGTAAATAACGAGTACTCGATTAAAAACGAGTAATACTCGACTCGCCTAAACCGAGTAATTTCTCGGAAACTGCAGACTCGTTACTCGCCCAAAACGAGTTACGAAAACGAGTCGAGTAAAATACTCGACTCGTTGCTCATGCCTCCTCTGCCACGAGCGCCCTCACCCTGCCATGCCATGACATGCCATGCCCAGCCACGCCACCTGCCACTCCTCGTCTCACTCAACATGCAGCAGGACAGCAAGCACACACTCACTTGTGGTGCTCGTTGGAGAAGACGAAGAAGCGCCGAGTTTCCTCCGCCACGAGCGCCCTGAGGCGCCCATACACCGCCACATTGCGACTCTTCACCTCCTCCAACACCACTGACAGCACCACCACGTTGCTGATTGCTGCATTTTCCAGCAGGTCAATCTGCGGAGCATGGATGGTGACGGGGGACGTTGATATGTGGATATGAGGAGGGTTAGGGGGTTATGGGGTTATGGGTTTATGGGTTTATGTGGTTATGGGAATATGGGGATATAGAATCATTATGAGGTTATGTGGTTATGGTGACGAAGGGATTCGGGGTTACGTGGTGATGGGAAAATGGGGATTCGGGAATATGTGGTTATGGAGATACGGGGTCATGCAGCTATGGCGATATGGGGATATGGGGATATGGGGATGGCAGGGATGGAAGGGATGGCAGGGATGGTAGGGATAGCAGGGATAAGGATATGGCAGTGGAGTGCAGATATAGTTATGCCTGCCCTCCTGGAAACCCAGCCTGCAATCCCGGCCGCGCTGATAACATGCAATCCCGGCCGCGCTGATAACATGCAATCCCGGCCGCGCTGATAACATGCAATCCCGGCCGCGCTGATAACATGCAATCCCGGCCGCGCTGCCTGCATGGCCCAGAGCTCACCTGGTGCAGGGCGACGTTGGTGTCTATAACGAGGATGGGTTCGTTATTAGGCGAGAGACGAGCGGAGTCTTTGTCGCAGGGAGTGGCGGGCGACTTGGCGCAGGGCAGCGCGCCACAGGGAATGTCGTCGCGCAGGTAGTGCTCGCGCACCACCTGACGTGGCCGGCGATTCAGGAGAGGGTTGTGGAATGAAGGGGAGGGATAAGAAGACGACAATTTAGGGTTGTTTCTGTGTAATGTGCTTCTGTGGGTCTCAGGAAAACATTGCGAGCTAACGTTTGAGTCGACTGGTAAGATCTTGAAGAGAGTTGCGCAGAATTTGAGTGCGTGATGCGTTCGCTTCCACACAAACCCTGAACCTCGTACCCTGAAACCCTAGAATCATTATCCCTGAAATGCGGTCCCTTCTAGTTTACCAACGAAACCACTCCCAGGAAGTCCATTTCGAACGAAAATATGACCGCACTTCTGTTGATGCCTAAAGCTTACGATCTCGTGCGAGCAATGCTGGATGCAAATGAGGAAGCACAAAACGCGAATTCTGGTAATACCCCAACCCGTGGCTGTGGAGATTCTAAGCTAACACCAAAGTTATAATCAAAGACAAAACAACGCACCCGCTGTATGGCTCCTTTGCGCGTCTTGCGGACGAACTGCTTCTGATGAAGCATCGTGATGAAATCTTTGCAACTTGCCAAGGCAGTGGGTGGTTCACTGCAGGTGGGACCACCGCGGTAGCAACAGAAACGGCCCCGAGCGCACAAGACACTACAATTCGCTCAGTAAGGAGAATACACCGCGCACAATTCAAATCAAAGCAGTATCGCCATGCCAAAAAGAGTAATGTCCAGGGATGAAGGATGTGACGTGCTGTGTGAATGAAGGCAACAGTTTGGTTTCCAATTGTAGGAATCGCGGTTTTCTGCATGGTGTTGTGTTCCGAAGTGACAATGTGTGAGAACCGTGTTAGACCGTGAGGGAACCAACTGAAACGCATGCGACACCCTGAAAAGAAACCCGCACGTTTAGCAGGAACACACACGCCAGCGGTTTTTACAGAGTGACTCACTACACCGAAAATGAATTTCGAGTTCCATTGGCAATTCAATTATAATTGCTGTAAAATAGTAAGCAGCAAATCAGGCACCCAATTTGGTTTGGAAAGTGTTACGAGTGCAATTGAGTGAACGAGCGAGAATTGCACTATCGAAGCAAGAGTACAAATGAGCGAAGGCATGAGCGAAGAATATATAGCGAAACTACAGTGGTAACGGCTATGTGTGGAAAATGGGTTGCGCGACGGGCCTAGCGCCGAGGTTGGGAGATGTCGAGGCGGAGGTCCGGAGCGCGGGTTACCAACCGAACCGTGAGGTTGGGTCGCGTCGTGAACGGTGGCGGGAATGGTGTCGAAGCGAGTGTCGCGAGTGGTAACGGATTACTGTTGGGTGCTGTGGGCGGGAACAGTGGTGTACGCGCTGAGCAGGGACGCGAAGTAAGGAAAAGGAATTTTCCTTACACTACCCCCCCCTCCAAGGAGGCCCTTCTTACGAGAGCGCGTGTACATCTCGGACGTTGCGGCTGCGCAGATACTCAGTGAGGACAGGGTGATTCTCAATTCTATCTAAGGGGACCCAGTTGTCCTCGGTGGGCGTGCGGTCTTTCCAGCGGATCAGGAATTCGATTCTGCGGGCTCCCCGTGGGTCACGTACTCGGTGGCTCAGTCTTTTCTCAGGCGTGATGATTGGTTCTGTCGGCGGTCGTGTCATGCTGGCGGGGCGGTTGCGAGGCAGTTGGCTGGTGGATGGCACGTATGGGCGAAGCAGGCTGACGTGGAATGACGGGCTGACGTACCAGTCAGCAAGGAGGAGGAGATGGGCGGTGACGGGTGTGATCATGTGGCTGATGCGAAATGGCCCGCAATATCGGGGGCGGAGTTTTGGGGTGATGGGCAGGCGGAGGTTTTGAGTGTCGAGTAAAACTAGGTCGTCTGGCTGGTAAGTGACAGGTCGGCGGTGGCGGTCAGCGTTGCGTTTAGCGATGATGTTTGATTTTTTTATTGCTTCTGCTGCTCGGGTTCGTGCTGCTTGCAGTATTTCCGCGAATTGTTGCGCGCGTGGGACTGGGTTGTCGGGATTTGGGGTCATGGGTACTGTGGGGTCTTGTCCGTAGTTCAGGTAAAACGGTGACTGTTGGGTCGTGGCGGATGGCGAGTTGTTGTACGCGAATTCGATGAGTGGCAGTTGCTGTTCCCACGTGGTCGGGTCGTCGCACGTGGCCCGGATGAGCTGTTCCATGGTCTGATTTGTCTGTTCTGTCTGTCCGTCGGTTTCGGGGTGGTATGATGAACTGAACTGCAGTCGCGTGCCGAACTGCTGCCACAGGTTCCGCCAGAAGTTGCTGGTGAATTTCGTGTCGCGGTCGCTGATGATCGCCGCTGGTATCCCGTGTAATCGAACGATGGTGGCGATGAAGAGGCGAGCTGTTTCTTCGGCTGTGATTGATTTCTTGCATGCTGCGAAGTGTGCCATTTTCGTCAGCCGATCGACGACGACCAAGATCGCGTCGTTCCCACTTGCTCCAGCCAAGCACGCTCTGGGGGTGGTATCGGCTGCAACTGTCCTGCCGGTCGTTGTCGTGACGACTTCATGAGCTGGCAGGTGGGACACGATGCCACGTGTCGTTGCACGTCGGTCAGCATCTCGGGCCAATAGTAATACCGCTGCAGCTGCTGCCGTGTTTTTTCTACCCCGAAATGTCCCGAGGTAACTCCGTCGTGTGCCTCCTGTAACAGTAATTCCCGTAGCAGTGTGTACCCTGGTACCCAGATGCGGTCGGTCCCGGCTTTTACGTAATAGACTCCCTTGGCTGCTGCGAACTGCTGCAAATTTCCTCCTGTGAAGAATGGGTCCGTTTGGTACCCGTGGGTAAATAGTCCTGTCAGTAGCGGGCTGGTCTGGGCGAGTATTATCGCGTGGATTTGGGCAGTGGGGCGGGTCAGTGCGTCAGCGATGTTGGATGCTCCCTTTTTGTAGGTGACCGTGTAGTGGAAGTTTGACTCGAGGAAATCGAGCCAGCGGATCTGTCGTGGGTTGAGGTGGGGCTGTGCGCGGAGGTACTGTAGGGATCGGTGGTCTGTCCGTACTGTCACGTCTGCGCCGGTCAAGTAACAGCGCCAGACCTTGAACGCATGCACGATCGCGAGCATTTCGCGGTCGTGTATCGGGTAATTTTTTTCGGGCGGATGCAGCTTTCGTGACTCGTAGGCGATGGGCTGTAGGCCGTTGCCGAAATCCTGTAGCAGTACGGCTCCAATGGCGATGTCGCTTGCGTCGGTTACGACTTCGAAGGGGCGGTGTGGGTCAGCGATGCGCAGTACGGGCGGTGAACAGAGAACAGTTTTCAGGGCAGAGAAGGCAGCATGCTCTTTCTCCCCCCACGTAAAAGAGACCCCCTTCCGCAGCAGATCCGTCAGTGGGGCTGTCAACTGCGCCATGTCGGGGACGAACCGACGCATGTAATTAACGAACCCTAAAAAACTCTGCAGCTCCGTGATATTTGTCGGGGGGTGCCACGCTTTGACCGTGTCCAGCTTCTTTGGGTCGATTTCAACCCCAGCCTCCGAAATAACGTGTCCTAAAAATTCTAACCTGTCCTGAAAAAACTCGCACTTGGAACCCTTGGTCAGTAGTCTGTGCTCGTCTAAAACTTTAAACACTGCTTCCAGATCTGCTAAATGCTGCTGCTTATCACGACTGTAGACTAGGATGTCGTCGAGGTAAACTATCACGCATTTATCTAAAAGTGGCCTAAACGCCTCGTTCATGGTCATTTGAAATGTTGCCGGTGCGTTGGTCAACCCGAATGGCATCACGGTGTACTCGAATGACCCGTACCTAGTCCTAAATGCTGTCTTGGCGCAGTCTGATGGTTCGACCCAAATCTGATGGTAACCTCCCCGTAAATATATTTTCGAAAAAACTCGTGCTGTTCGTAGCTGGTCGATCAGTTCATCAGCGCGGGGAATGGGGTATCGCGACTTGACTATTACCCGGTTCAGTGCTCTGTAATCGATGCACATTCGAAACCCTCCGTCTTTTTTCGGTGTGAACAGTATCGGTGCGGCGAACGGTGACGAGCTCGGTCGGATGATTTTTTTCTCTAACAGGTAGTCTAACTGCTTCCTCAGCTCATCGAGCTCGGGCTGTGTCAGTCTGAACTGTCGCTGTACGGTTGGCTGTGCCCCGGGTTCTAACTCTATGCGGTGGTCGTGTGCTCGCTGAGGTGGCAGTCCCTCCGGTAAGTCGTCGGGAAAAATTCCCGGGTACCGTTTCAATAGCTCCTGCAGTTCGGGCGGTACCGCTGTCAGCGGTTTCTGAAAATCACTCGGCTGCTCTGCTTCTCCTATCAACGCTATATCCACTGCGTACACGTCAGCTCCAGCGACGACAGCCCGTTTCATCGTGATGGCGTTGACGTGGACCGTTGAAGACTCGGGCGGCTGCCAGCGTGGTAGCGACACCCAGTTACCGCTATTTCGCACAGTGCAGCTACCTGTCGTCCAGTCGATTCGCGGGTTATACCGTCGCAGCCAATCACGTCCCAGTAAAATGTCGTGCCCATCCAATGTCATCGCGAGCATTTCCTGTGTAAACCCAAAGTTCCCCCCGCAGCGGACTTTTACTCTCTCCACCTTCTCCCGTATGGCCAGCGGCGTTCCGTCCACTAAGCGTGCATCTATTTCCGGTAAACACCGACTAAGTGTCAGTTGCAGCTTCCGTGCGGTTGCGGTATTGACTAAGCTGTGGCTTGCTCCTCCGTCTATAAAGATCTTCACTGCTGCTCCCTGTATTTTCCCGTGAATCAGTACTGGGCAATCCGTCGTTGTACCCTCCTTATTCATCCGAGCCCGATCGATAGCGTGAATCGGTACTGTGACTCGGTGAGGGTCGGTGTGGTTGGGCGAGCAGGCAGTCTCGTCAGTAGTTGGCCCGATTCTTACTGACTGCTGGCGTTTCCCTGCCTTAGAGACTCCTGAGAAGAAACGAGGAATGAGTGACTAAGGGAAAGTTGGGTACAAATGTAAACCCTAGAAAACTGTACCCCATATGTGCTACCCCGCTATAGCCTACAGTAGCTATGTCATATAAATCTGACACACCCCCATAGGCAAAGTGGGGGAGAACAAGGGGTCACAAGACCAGTCAAGCAAAGCAAAGCAAGCTCAGGGTGGATCACAAAGTCACCACACATTCCGAGCACAAGTTCAAGGCCACAAGGCCAGTTCACATGCAGGATTACATATATATATAAGGCTAGACAAGCAAGAGCAGGTGTATATATATATGCAACAGTACAAACAAGGTCAAGGGGTGAGCAAGTGAGGCAAGGTAGGCACAAGACCCAGCTGAGTACAGAAGCGCTGATGATCACAAGGCGCAAGTGC